GTGACAGGGCACTGAGTGTGTCCCGGGAAAGGGACTTTACAGGCCCCGCTGCCTGCGTGGGCTCGGTGCTGCCGGTGTCCCCGGCAGGAGCGCTGCACCTTACACTCACTGGAGATTCCAGCCGCCTTTTCCATCCCTCGGAGTCACCGGGGCCTCTGCCGCCGATTCTAAGAATCGGGGGGCCCTGGTGTTTCTGACTGACCAACTTAGTTCCTTTTCTGTTTCAAAGGGAGACGCTGGTTTTCACCATGAATTTTGAAGGTCTCGACCCCTCCCTTGCCGAGTATGCGCCTCCCCTCCACCCTGCGCTGGACCCTGTCCTGGACCCCCATCTCAACCCCAGCTTGCTGCAGAACGTGGAGCTGGATCCCGAGGGGGTGCCGTTAGAGGGTATCGCGGTGCCAGAGTCGGTGCACCTCATGGAGGGCATGTACAGCGAGCTGCACACCGCCGTCTCCGAAGTGGGGGTGCCCGTCTCCGTCTCCCATTTCGACCTGCACGAAGAGATGCTGTGGGTCGGGAACCACGGGGTAGGTGCCCGCTCTGGGAGCGGGGCAGGGAGGAGGGTCACTGCCCCAGCCAGGCTGTCTGCGCTGCTCTCGCTGCCTGACACCTGCCTGCTGCGACCGGCTCGGGGCAAGCTGGCTGTGGGTGGGGAGCCGGTCAGCATGGGGCTGAGGCCAGCATGGGGCTGAGCCGGAGAGTCCTGCTCAAACCGGGGTTGTGCTGCACCGGTGCAGAGCTTCTGCCCGGCGGTGGCTGATACGTCTTGGAAGCATGAGCCTCTTGGTGTTTCCCAAGTAACTTTACTGCCCTGGTGTGTGGGGCTGTTGGAGCTTTTGGTTCTTTATTCGTGTCTGTGCTTATCTGCCTGAAAGGGAGTCCAAGTCTGAACAATCTTCCACAGCTTGGGGCACACAGGGGGGCAGGAATCCCCCCCCGTAGGCTGGCTGAGGCTGTAAGGCAGCTGATAGCCTGCCTCCACTTGGGAGCTGGCGCAGGGCAAAGTGGCGTTTGCCTGTGTCACATCCGAAGTGAAGCTGGGGCGGGTCTTGATGAGCCTGTCCCCGGCTGGTTTTAGGGCCACGCCACCTCTTTCTTCGGCCCAACGCTGGAGCGATACTCCTCCTTCCAAGTGAACAGCAGTGACGATATCCGCCAGATCCAGAGCCTGGAGAACGGTGTCCTTTTCCTGACCAAAACCAACCTGAAGTACATGTCACGGGGGGGCCTCATCATTTTTGACTACCTGTGAGTGCCTTCCCCTGGCAGCGGGCGGGTTGTGCCGGCCCCATGAGCTGCCCCTGTGCTGGGGGAGATGGTCCCGGCCCCTCTGCCGGCAGGGTAAAAGCTAGATCTGGGAGAGGGTGAGGATGGATCCTCCGCCCCCTTCCCCGCTGCCTCCCCGAGCTGGGCGGGAGCGCGAGGGCTGTCCTCTCCCCTCTCCTGCAGCATGGACGAGTCCGAGGACATGCACAGCCTCCTGCTGACGGACAGCAGCACGCTGCTCGTTGGCGGGCTGCAGAACCACGTCATTGAGATAGACCTCAACACCGTCCAGGAGACGCAGAAGGTACGGCCGGGCCGGGGGCCGCTCCCTGCTGCGGGGAGGTGCTTTGTTCTGGCGCTCAGCACTGCTCACTCCACTCTTCTGCCTCCTTCCCAGTACACCGTGGAGGTTCCCGGCATCACCATCATGAGGCAATCAAACCGCTTCTTTTTCTGTGGGCACACCTCGGGGAAGGTAATACCAGCCTCATCCTACCTGGCAGCCCTGCTGACGCTCGGCTTCCCTCTGGGATACCCTGGAGTTGGCGTCCAGCTTTTCCCAGAGCTCGAGGGGCTCCCAGGTAGCCAACAGCTGCCTGCGTGGCACCCAACGCCCCCGTCTTACCCTCCCAGGTCTCCCTGCGGGATCTGCGCACATTTGTGGTGGAGCACGAATTCGATGCGTACTCGGGCAGCTTGTCTGATTTTGATGTCCATGGGAACCTGCTGGTGACCTGCGGCTTCTCCAGCCGAATGAACAGCCTCGCCTGCGACCGCTTCCTGAAGGTGTACGACCTGCGCATGATGCGGGCCACCACCCCGCTGCAGGTCCACATCGACCCCTTCTTCCTCCGCTTCATCCCCACCTACACCTCCCGCCTGGCCATCATCTCCCAGACAGGTGGGCGAAGCTGCATCCCCCACCCGGCCGGGCTCCGCTCCCCTGGCGAGAGCTGGGCGACGGTCCCGGCGTCCCCCAGGCTCGGGGTGAAATCCCAGTGGGATGGAGTTGGCCGAGCGCCCTCGACCCATGTCCAGCCAGTTCAAATGGCCCCGTAAGCGAGAGGCGTGCTGGGTCACCGTGTGCTGGCTGCCCGCATGCTCCCTGGTGCCATGTTGCTCTGCGCTTCCCTCTTGCACAGGTCAGTGCCAGTTCTGCGAGCCCACCGGCCTCGCCAACCCTGCTGACATCTTCCACGTGAACACCGTTGGGCCCCTGATCATGACCTTCGACGTCTCGGCCAGCAAGCAGGCCCTGGCCTTCGGCGACTCGGAGGGGTGCGTCCACCTCTGGGCCGACTCCCCAGAGGTCACCTTCAACGCCTACTCCCGGGAGACCGACTTTGCCTTGCCCTGCATCGTGGACACGCTGCCCCACTTGGACTGGAACCAGGACCTCGTGCCGCTCTCGCTCATCCCCGTGCCGCTGACCAGCGACACCCTGCTCTCCGACTGGCCCGCTGCCAACTCTGCCCCGGCACCCCGGTAATTTGCCAGTCTCTCCCAGCAAAAGCCAGCATGGGAAAGCTGGCCCTGGCAGAGTTCCTCTCCTTCCCTGGGTCTTGGGAGCAGGAGAGCGGCCCTGTTGCTCCCTCTGCTCCCCCATCTCACGGCTGGCATTGCCCTTCCTCGTCACGTGCCCTGTGAAATGCAAGACCAGCTCCCCGTGGCGGAGCTTAACCGCTGAGGTGCAGTGACTGGGCAGGTCTGAAGACGGTAGGGTATGGTCAAACCTCCGTCTTCCTGGTGGGGAGATCCCAGTGGGATCCTGGCTGCATTCTGCCTGTATGGAAACTCTTGTTTTTCCTCCACCTGAGAGCCCTGTCCGAAACATGCCTGTGCTCAGCGCTGCTGCCGTGTTCTGGCGCAGCCCAGGTGTTTTGTTGTGACAGAAAATGAACCCAGGGGAAGGACTGAGTGGGGGAAACCCTCGTGACCCGCTGGTGGGTCCCTGAGCACACCCAGCAAGGCTCTTGGTTAAATGATGCTGCCAAACAGAGCAGCCTCTGAGTCGCGGTGTGTTTTGCAGGCGAGCCCCTCCGGTAGATCCCGAGATTTTGCGCACCATGAAGAAAGTGGGGTTCATTGGCTACGCCCCAAACCCAAGGACCAAGCTCCGCAACCAGGTGCCCGCTCTCGGGAGGGGATTGTGTGGGGCATGGGGTGCTTCTGCCAGCAGCGGAGGTCTGTGGCTGGGGGAGGGATGGAGTTCTCGCTGCGTGCTGAACGATCTCGGAGCTTTCTGCGGGGCTCGGGACAGGGGTGAGAGATTAAATTCTCTGGCTTCGGGTGTTGCAGGAGGCAGGTGTACAGTTTGGAGGTGACAGCTTCTCTTGAGCAGTGTCAGCGGGTGAGCCAGCCCTGGGGGAGGGCTGGAGTGTCCCCCTCGGGCCAGAATCCCAGTTCTATCAATAACTCGCTCTGTGGTAGGAGAGGTTTGAGCTGTCCGGTTTGGAGGTTTATGGCACGTCCCTCGCCCTTGGGAAAACACTGCTGTGTTTCGCCCTCGCCCGCAGCGCCGCTGTAGTTTCCCACAGCGATAAGCCCCTTGTAAGAAGGAAGGTGTGGAGGCCTCGTGCAGGTTAAGGGAGGGCCCCACTCCTTTCTGGTTTATTCCTTTGCTCGTTGGGGGAGGCAGGAAAGCCCAGGAGTTGCTTGTTTCAGTAAGTGATGCTTC